CACATTGAATCATCAGACCCCAGTGCATCGAATCCCAAACGCAGCAATCTCCGAGATACTTGCCATCCCTCCGTTGTGTATGTATGTATGTATGTATGTATGTATGTATTTATGTATGTATGTAAGTATGTATGTATGTATGTATGTATGTATGTATTAATGTAATGTAATGTAATGTAATGTAATGTAATGTATGTATGGTAATGTAATGTAATGTCATGTAATGTAATGGTATGTATGTATGTATGTATGTATGTATGTATGTATGTATGTATGTATGTATGATATATATATATATGTAACTGTAGTGCTGAATGCTATCATCCGTCTCTCAACCCTAGACGACTCCAGCGAGGCTCTCGCTGGCTCTGCCGCGGGTAGCACCCTCCGCCGAAGAGGGCCCAACAGGCCGGGTTGAACGGATGGTGATGATGTGGGTTAATTGTTTTAGGGTGATGAAGACTAAGATTGCAGTAAGAGGAATGTGCTGCAACAACTCGTTCTGCTGCTCCTGCTACGCTGCTTCTCCTTGTGTCGAAACGAGTCAAGACAGCAGTATTTGTCTATGGATGCTCTGGATACTGTTTGCAATGCTGATAATGCTACGAGGGCTTATTCTCGGAAATACAATGCCGGCTCTCCTTGTGCTGGGTTCCTTGCGACTCCAGGAGCCGGGGTTTGAGTGTTTGAATGGCCGGCGTTTTCGGGGCTCACTAATGGTTGTTTCCTCCAAGGTTGGCATGATTCTGGATGATGAGTTGATGAGTCAATCATCCCGTAGCCTAGGAGTTCATGGGTTCCTGATTGCGTCGGGTGTGGGTTTAGTCTAGAGCTTAGGCCTCTCGGCTTCGGCAGTCTCTGGCCTTTGTGGCGAGGCTCCGTTGTGCTTGGAAAGCATTTTCGGTTGCTCGGTGGTACATCTGTACTATACAGTTACTATATGAAGTTGCCGATACACAATAACACTTCCGAGCACCACTTAAATGTCATTTACACAGCACTCCATGAAGACATCAGCAGCACACTGAAGCAGATCTCGCCACGGCGATTTGACTCCCCACCTCCATTTCACACAGGCAACGAAGCTATGAAGTGCACACGTCAGATCATGAAGAGGGGACGATGTCGCTCCGGCCGTTGGGGCGCAGCCTTGTGTACGGCGGGCGTGTGCTGGATCGCGCCGGGCATCTCCTTCACGGCGTCCACGCAGCTCCGAGTGCCCTTTAAGGCACCTGGTCGGCTCACGCTGCGTCGCGCCGGCCTGCAGCCTCCGCAGCTCGATTCGCAGTCCGAGCCCCCGGTGGAAACGGGGCGGAACCCGCAGGCCGTGGCCACCGACTTCGCTTGGGGCATCGTGCTGCTGCCCGTGTCGGTGCTGGGTCTGATCATCGCGTACCTCTTCAGCGGTTTCCTGAGCGCCACGTCGCAGCCGCCGCCCGAGGTACCGCTGTCAGAGTCGCTTGCTGCCCTCATCTCCATCGAGGACGACTACGCTGTCCGGGGACCCGGCATGGGACTCCGCCAACGTCTAAGCCGGTGGTTCCATTGGGCCGAGCCCAATCGGCGGGTGGACTTCGAGATCAAAGACCTCCCGAACAGTCCACTCAAGGACGAGCACGAGCTCGGTAGGAACATAACTTCACTCCGATTGCCAGTCTTTTCAGTCAGCTCTTCTCTGTGTCTCCTCTAGCTTATCTCTCGACACAGATGCAGCTGTTCCTTCAAGAAACCACTTGAGGACAAGATCCGCCAACGCGGCAAGGACGCTGCAGAGGACATCGCGATGACGGTGGAGTACTTCGTGGCGGGGAATGGAATCATCGACGACTCTGGCTCTTCTCGCATGGCTGACCGCATCGCCGAGGACGAGGCCGCACGGGGTTACCCCGAGGCGGAGAAGTTTGCCGAGACCTGGGCTTTGTTAGAACTCACACTGTGGATCGTCTTCCTGGTGGCATCGGTGGTGCTATCCAGTACTACTAGTAGTAGTACTACCAGTAGTAGTAGTTGTCGTACCGGGAATTTAGAACAATATTTTTTGAAAAAGAAATCTTATTGGTCAACTTGCAATCTTGTCAGCTAGGTCATTTTGCTCGACCACAGGTCATCTTGGTTTTTTTTGTCATCTTGGTCGCCACTGGTCATCTTGGTCATCTTGCCCCACTTGCCCCACTTGCTCGCCGACAAGTTTTCCATTTAGACCAAGATGACCAAGATTGCATGGCAATCTTGCCCCCCCCCCCCCAAGTGGTGCAAGTGCGGCCTGGGGCAGGTGGTTCAAGTCGGGCAAGTGGGGCAAGATGACAACATCGCTGGCAATCTTGCTCAAATAATTCTAAATAATTCTAAATTCCAGGAACACAGTAGTAGCAGTAGTAGTAGTAGTAGTAGTAGCAGTAGCAGCAGTAGCAGCAGTAGCAGTAGTAGTAGTAGTAGTAGTAGTAGTAGTAGGGTGTCCCGCCCCCGGTGCGACGCCCAGACCTCTTATTTGTTGGACTTGTTGTGGTCGGAAATGCTGTGTTTTACAGCACTTTTG